AGCGTCCTTGTTACTACTAGTAAGGCACTTGTTACTACTAGCGATGCACTTGTTACTAGTAGCTTCTTGTTACTACTCAGTCAGTCACCATTTTATTTGAAGAAAGAGTCCGCTAGCGGGCAGCTTTTATGCAGTCGTACTCAGGTGTGCTCCAAGCATGGAGCCATGATTTACATCAGGTGCAGTCGGGAGGTGTCCCGACCACTGCCTGCACAGTCTAACTCCTGGTCCAAAAGTCTGCATATGATCTGTGGTGCCAGGAAAGGAGGAGGAAAGCAGTTTGCCCAATTTCACGCAGTTTCCATGCTCCCACCAGTCCCTTCGCACCTTGCCATCCATGCTGTCAGAAGTCAGAAGCAAGGGCCACGTAGGAGCCAACTCTACTGAGCCCTGAAACTTTGTTGCAATGTCGAAACCTCGAGAAGGATACAGTAGCAGAAAGTAGTGCACCTTTTTTCAACTTTGAAAATCCAGATCTTGACCCCTCTTCTGAAGGAATGTCCACCCGAAACTGCAGTGGTCTAGGTCCGGAAATCTGACATGATCTGTGGTTCATCCAAGTTATGCCGCACATCTACCAATGGACTAAGATGACGATGATGTCGTTTTAAGGTCCTTACTTACATGTCAACGTTTGCTGCGAGCGGCAGTGTCCTTTTAATTCGAATCGCACGTCGCATCTTGCGACGTCATGCACAGAGTCTTTAGGGATCCACCCAGCTTTCAGGCCACTGCTGGCCCAAAGACAGAATTAACCACGCCGCATGGCAATGGCACGCCTGCGGTCTTCTGCAGAGGTTTCAAGGCGATGTATCCTCGAGGGGTTCAAGTCTAAACACACTTCTAAAGCCAGGTTGGGAGTACAAAGAATGTCCAACACAACAACACTCAGCATACGCGAGCCAGAACATTGAAAACAAGACGTGCAAGACCCTGATCCTCTGTTCCTTCTCTTTCTGTGCGTTGACCTTTGGCAACCTTGGTTGTACAACTGAAACCCACCCAAGTTTGGGGAACGAAGAATGCACATGACACCACCGTAGACCCCAAACAGTTTGTGTTTTTCAATATCGGAACACTCTGCAACTAGAGTTTGCGACGTCCAGAGCTGGGAGACAAAGGATTGCAAGGCAGAGGCGGATACAGCAGTCTAGAGCTGGGAGACAAATGCAAAGGCTTGCGAGGACACATGTAAAGGATTGCAAGGCAAAAGGCGAAAAATCACAGCAGTCAGAGCTGGGAGACAAAAGCCCAGCACTGCGAGACAAATGTAAAGGATTGCAAGGCAGAGGCGGACACAGCAGCCCAGAGCTGGGAGACAAATGTAAAGGATTGCAAGGCAGAGGCGAACACAGCAGTCCAGAGCTGGGAGACACATGTAGACACAGCGAGACAAATGACAATGTAAAGGATTGCAAGCGACACGCAGCCCAGAGCTGGGAGACAAATGTACTATTGCAGGGGAGAGCAGCTGGGAGACAAATGTGAAGGGTTGCAAGCGAGAGGGGGAGAGAGGAGGCAAATGTAAAGGAAAGAAGGAAGACAAGGCGGACACAATGACCAACAAGAAGGGGGACAACAAGGGAGACAAGAAGGGAGACAAAAGGAAACAGAAGAGAGACAAGACGGACACAGTGCCCAACAAGAAGGGAGACAAGACCGGAGACAAAGGGAGACAGAAGGGAGACAAGGCGGACACAATGACCAACAAGAAGGGAGACAAGAAGGGAGAAGAAAGGAAAGAGAAGGGAGAGAAGACTGACACAATGACCAACAAGAAGGGAGACAAGACCGGAGACAAAGGGAGACAAGAAGGGAGACAAGGCGGACACAAGGACCAACAAGAAGGGAGACAAAAGGAACAGAAGGGGGAACAGGCGGACACAGTGACCAACAAGAAGGGGGACCGTGATCAACAAGAAGGGAGACCAAGGGAGACAAAAGGCAGACCAGGAACACAGTGAGCCGGACGGAAGGCGGACACGCTGTCCGGCAGCAAGGTGGACACTCTTACAAAGCATTTAGAACCCCTAACAATAGCCTGTTTGGGGAAGTACAGAAATCACCTGGGAGCCAAATGAATAGAAATGCTGGAAAGGGGAAAAGGGCGCATGCCAGCAGTGCAGGCACCGAACCTGGAAAACAAAAGTAAACAAACCACATGGGAAACAAATTAATAGAAATGCTGCATGGCCAGCGGAAAAGGGCGGACACAAGCAGTGCAGGCACCGAACCTGGGAGACAAAAGTAAAGAACTCATTCTAAAGACAAACGAATTGAATGCTGCATGGCCAGCACAAATGGGCGGGCACCAGCAGTGACAGAAAGGGCGGACACATCTTAAGAAAGAATTGAGAAACCCTACGTAACGGCAAACTGCTTGGGGAATGAATAGAAATGTTGCATCGCCAGCGGATAAGGGCGGACACCAGCAGTGACACATCTCGGAGACAAATGAACAGAAATGCTACATGGCCAATGGAAAAGGGCGGACACCAGCAGCGACAGACCTGTGAGACAAATGAATAGAGATGCTACATGGGCCAGCGAAAAAGGGCGGACGCCAGCAGTGACAGACCTGGGAGACAGATGAATAGAAATGCTACATGGCCAGGGGCGGACACCACCAGTGACAGACCTGGGAGACAAATGAATAGAAATGTTGCGTCGCCAGCGGAAAAGAGCGGACATCAGCAGTGATAGACCTGCGGAGACAAATGAATAGACATGCTACATGGCCAACAGAAAAGAGCTGACACCAGCAGCGACAGAGCTGGAAGACAAATGAATAGAAACGCTACATGGGCAGAAAAGGCGGACACCACCAGCGACAGCGGACACCAGCAGCGACAGACCTGGGAGACAAACGCATAGAAATGCTACGACAGACCTGGGAGACAAGTGAATAGAAATGCTGCATGGCCAGCGGAAAAGGGCGGACATGGCCAGCGGAAAAGGGCGGACACCAGCAGTGACAGACCTGGGAGACAAATGAATTGAAATGCTACATGGCCAGCGGGAAAAGGGCGGACACCAGCAGTGACAGACCTGGGAGACAAATGAATAGAAATGCTACATGGCCAGCGGGAAAGGGCGGACACCAGCACTAACGCAAAGGGCGGACACATCTTAAGAAAGAATTGAGAACCCCTAACAGTTTGGGGAAAAAAAATGCAACCTCTGTTAGGGGATACTTGTACAGTCTCTTGCGCCACGGAACTGAATCTGATGAAGGGATTCAAGGCCGTTCAACTCACGGACTTGGTCCCGGTAGCGCGGATTCTGTGCCAATTTGGTCACGGAAACGCCCAGGTTGTGCTGAGCAGATCCTCGTTCCTTGCGAAGCATCTCCACCAGCACAGGGACCACCATGGAAAGATCCAAGTCCTAACAATTGGCAATCATGAATGACCAAAGCCGCTTAGGAGAGTAGAACCTCTCAACACTAAAACATATTAAATATCATTATGCAAATTGTTAGGTGGCTGCTGCAGTGCTCTGACCTGTATCCCAAACAACTGGACGAGTCTCTCGCAAGGAAGGGGCCGCGTTCTCCGAAGCTTGTCGATCACTCAGCAAGCTCACTAGAAGTGCCAAATTTCCACGCAGCCTGGAAGGCGTTGAGGATTCCTCATCCAGAGCAACATGGCTCGCAGGCTGCAGCACACGAATGAACTCAAACACCTTCCCCATGAGTCCAGAGAATGAGATCGAGCAATCTCCAGTCTTCAAGCTCGTTCCTGAGACGAACCTTTCGCAGGGTCAATGTCTGTGGTGAACAGATTCAATAAGATTGGTGCTTTTGCTGATAGGTTCGTAGTTCCAAGAATGTTTTTTCTTAAGAGAGGCCTTGGGCTCTTTTCCTTAGATCTTTATCTTGATCGTTGCAGGAAAGAGAACTGCACCTGAGCAGTTTCAACAGGTTCTGCGGCCCTCACCTGTCCAGGGCACCTGGAGCCTTCGTCAGCAGGGTGACCAGCACCCGAAGCGGTGGGTCCATGGCCTCTAATGTTGGAGTCTTCTCAACAGAGCTGAACTGTGCAACATCGGCCTGGATCTCAGGGATACTGACCTCAGCCAACCCATGTGGCAGTATTTTGTTCGGTGCATCAAGTTTTGTTGGGTTGCATCAACATGTTGAAAATGTGTGTGAGTGTGTGTATATATACTGTGTATATATATATGTATAAACTACAGTTTTTTGTTTTTTTAATGCATCCAAAAACTGTTTCAAAAACATGTATTTGTGTTTACATTCTTCACCTTGGTCAGAATCTGGGACAGGCGAAAAAGTAGTTCTGCTTCTTGATCCAGGCTGAGACCATCTGGAAAAGCTCCAAGCAGTCGACTCGACACCAAACATGCGCGGGTAGAGATCACCTTGTCGGCACTGTTTGAGCCTCAATGCGATGAGAGGGAAGCACAAGGTTCAGTAGGCAGGACTCATACATCTTGCGGTTTACTTCCAGAAGGCACACACCTTCCGTCGGTTTCACCCCTGAGTGGCCCACCATAGGCTTCAGGATCGATCAAAGGAATTACCACTTGGAGGGTGCCCAAATGCTGCATCTCAACCAGAGCCGTGGGTCTTGCAACTGCCAGGTTAACCAAAGCGCCCAAGAGCTGCGGAGTTGCAGGACCAAGTCCGGAAGTCATTTGCACCGCCTGCATTCTGTACGGCAATACGCAGAATACTCAAAAAATGGCGGGTGCCTTAGATACCTACCCACGTCGAGACCTTGCAGAATATTTTTTGTTTATTCCTATATACTTCCAGTTCTTAAAAAATATTCCGTGAACTGACCAGTTACAGGAATAATTTTATGAATTTAATATTCCAGAACGATTCTAGTTTTTGTAAATAAATATTCTGGGTATAGTTCCACCCTTCTTCTCAAGATTGCCCATTTTTCATCACTCCTCCAACACGTTCTTCAGTTAAAAAAAAGATCTGGGGTGTGTCTCCAGTATCAGTATCATATACCTCCAGCCATAAATATTCCTGTAAAAATATTCCAGAACAAATATTCTGTGAACTCACGGTATAACCTGGAATATTTAACCAAGGCACCCCCCATCTCAAAAAGCATGGAAGTCACATGTGAAAAAAAAAAACGTATAACTGATGTGCAAAACAATTGCAAGAACAACCAACTCTTGCACTCAACGGACAGACCGCACAGAACCCTCTGGCCTTGATCATTTCCCTGGCCTCAGGTTTGCCCTCTTCTCGGAGAGCCTAGCGAGGAACGCGTAACATTTTGTTTCTCCTGAACCTTACAATTTCTTGAGTGATCCCTTTCTCATCCGAGTTACCATGGTGACATTTCGTTAAAACCGCCCAGAGAACCCTTAAAGTCTCGAATTCAGCCCCGTCAGCCTCCAAAAGTTGCCCTGTGCAACGTTCCACCTGGCCAAGTCGCGCACCAAGATTCAGCAGGTTTGCGTATCACACATCTCAAGCGTACATCATGGGCTAAAAAAATAAATTAGACGAATGGCCGGGGAAGGTGGTAGGAAAGGTTATGTAACCGAGGGCGCGCGCGAGAGATGTGTATGAATACATTTGAAAGTTTTATGGCTGCATTTGCATGTATGCTACAAGATGCTATACGCACAGCGGACTCACGCAAACGCACTTTCCACCGTGGCCGCGCAAAGCCGCATGGCACAGCGACGTCACAGACGTAATTTGACCACACGGTGAGCGCCCGCGCAGCGTGCCCTAAGAAAACGCCAATTCAGCGCCAGCGCCCAGGCCAGCGCCCGTGCCAGCGCCCGCGCCAGCGTCCACGCCAGCGCCTGCACCAGCACCAGCACGGCGCCAGCGGGCAAAACGAAACGCCAATCCAGCACCAGCGCCTGCATCAGCACGAACACAACGCCGACCCAGCACCAGCGCCAGCGCCAGTACGGCAGCAGCGCTCGCAAAACGAAAGACCGATCCAGAGCCAGCGCCAGCGCCAGCACGGCAGCAGCACGCGCAAAAGCACGTCAGCAGCACGGGCAAAACAAAACGCCGATCCAGCGCCCGCGCCAGCATGGAAAAAACGAAACGCCGCACGGCAGCAGCGCCCGCAAAACAAAAACGCCGATCCAGATCCACACCATTGAAAAGTAAGAACCCCTATAACTTGCACCTATTTGGGGACAAACCACAATCAGATGTGAATTGGGATTAGGTTTGTTTGAAGGGCTGTAGGAGGCGCGCAAAACGCATCTATTCAAGGGTAGAAGTCCACGCGCAGTTCGCAGGGTTGTTGTTGTTGCTGCTGATGCCAAAGCCAGGCGATGGGCTGGGCTGAAGTTGTTCCTGCGAACAAAGTGAATAATGGGGGTGTGGGGGGGGGAAGCGGGCCGAAGTTGTTTTTCCACGATAACGATTGTTAATTGTTAATGGTTCATGCTTTTTTGCAGAGGCCAATTCTGGGCAGGCGGTACCGGTGCAGAAGACGCAAGGCAAAGTTGTGGCTGCACCGCGCGCGTCGGCAAGTTGCATGGGCCTACTTCCAAGATCATCGACAAGATCAGTATTGGCAAACGAAGGAGGCTCTGCTTTTGCTCTCGTTCTGCTTTCATCTGCTTTCATTCATTCTGCTTTCCTGTGTTTTCATTCTGTTTTCTTTCGCTTTCGGCAGTTTTCATTCTGCTTGAGGCGCGCCGTGATAAAGCGGACGCGGCAACAATGACTTGTCGACGCAGGAAATTGTTTTTCTGGAGGTTGGCGCCCTTTTGCTGTGTGTGTGTGTGCGAAGGCCATCTTGAGGTTGCGCCGGCGCCAAATTCTCCCGGAAAAGACCTTAAGGGTGAGTTTATGTTGGCACTGCCTCGTTTGAAGGCTGTCTCGGGGCAGAAAAGGCCGCCTGTGAAAAGCGGGCCCTAGCAACAAGACCTGTGACAAAGCAGGGCGTGGCAGATGCATCTTGGAGCACATTGATTGAATCACGCGAGCCTGCTTGAGATGATTGGCAGGTTTTGTGGGGGCAAGCATGCCAAACGCGTGAAACGTAGAGGTTTGCTCGAGATGAGCTGTCGACGCAGGCGTGGAACGACCGTGGATCTAGTCTGATGGGCGGAGCTGGAGTTTCTTGGTCGATGCCTTTTTGCGCTTTGTTTGGGGGCCATCTCGGGCAAACTAAGTGCAAGACCAGCGGGTTCTGCGGATAAGGCCCGTGAAAAAGCAGGACACGGCAGATGTATCCTCGAGCATTTTGATTGAGTCTTGCAAGCCGAGCTGAGATGAATTGTCATCGCAATTCCGGAAACACCCTTAAGCCGCATTTCTGGGTTGGTGCCCTTCTGCGCTTTGTTTAAGGACTTTCTCGCAACAAAACAGAGCGAGGGCAGGCTTTCATCCCTTCCCTTGTCAGGCATATATATATATATGTATAGATATACATATATATGTATATATGCGTATATAAGTAGAAACAGACATGCGCACACACTTGGGAAATTGGGTGCGACATGGATTGCGGTTTGCCGCTCACTGACCTAGGAAAACATGGAAAAACAAAAGGGTTGGAGGCCACCGTAGGTTGAAGGGCATCGGTAGAAGGTAGACAAGACAGCGTTAAGGTTGGAAGCCATCGGTAGGAAGTTGACAAGACAGCTATACTAGGTTGGAGGCCACCGGTAGAAGGTAGACAAGACAATCGCATCTAGGTGAGGGGCCAACGCGACAGGTTAGAGGCCGTCGCTAGCAGGTTCGGCGCAAATGAAGCGCATGCCAAACTGAACAAGCAAGATTGACAAGCAAAACTCGACAAACAGGTGAGTGCACATGTCTGATCTTTGATTGACAAGTACGTAGAAGTAGGGAGTTCCACACAGTGAGCGAGACAGATCGCCTTAGGTAAGTTAAACAAAAACGGACATAAAGCCTCCTGTTCTAGGTAAGGTAAACAAAACATGATGCCTCCTGTTTCGAGGGAGCAAGATGGACGAAACACCACTATGGTAGGGAAAACCGACGGATGAACTCTGCCTACAGTTCGCAAGCGAGACATAAGAATCGCTGTGCAGAGAGGGTTTCCACAGGCAGGCGCGCGTTCAGGCGCCCCTGAATGCTTCCACCAGTCTTCTGTAGCTTCGTTGGGCAGCCCCCCTCCCACCATCATAACGCTGATGGGTCTCTGGTGATTTTAAGATTCCCGTGGCCTCCATCCTGCCCAGAAAGGAGGCACGCCCATCCTGCCGAGAAAGGGGTCTACGCAAGACGCATCGAGCGCTCAAACGTGCGGTGAACTGTGAATTCTCGGCGCCGCAGTGAGCGTGGTGGAAGCAGTTGCCGAAAACGAAGGTAGAGGTCGAGGTTGTCAAAGTGTGTAACTGTCGCCGAAAACGGAGGTGGAGGGTGCCAAAGTGTGTAACCGTCGTCGAAAACAAAGGTGGAGGTTGCATAAAACAAGCACGTATACTGTCGCCGACTCCTCGGGCAATTCTCTAGCAGACCTCACAGCTTCAGAGTTCTGTTCCGCTTCTGCTTCCCTTTCTCCACCTCTCTGTTCCTCTCTCTCTGTCTCTCCCTCTCTACCCCCCTCTGAAACTACAAATGAACTACAAGGCCCCACATGGGCAAAGAGCCTCGTCCTCCCTTTCAAGGCCTCGGAACTTTCAGAGCCGCGGCGTTTCGGTGCGCTAGGTCGCACGCCGGCCCAGCTGCAGCTGTTGCCGAAAAGGAAGATTTGGTGATGCACGAGCGCTGCGCCATGCGGTTTTGCGCGGCCTTGGTGGAAAGTGCGTTTGCGTGAGTCCGCGCCACTGGAGGAAGGAAGGAAGGAAATGCTGGTGGAAATTCTTTTGCGCGGGCGCGCTCACATGGTTGCTGGCACGACACGATGTCATCCCTGGCGTGACATGATATCATCCTGGCGTGACATGTCATCCCTGACATGATGTCATTCGTCCCTCGCGTCACACATGCCACCACAAAGCAAAACGACGCATACCACAAGGCAATACACGCATCGATGCGTCAAGCACCGTTGGGGTGGATATCGTCCCTGCCCTGACAGATGTCATGCCTGGCAAGGTGAACAACCCCCTTGGCACCGCTCATTGACAACGAAAGCCATTTCACATTGGGCTTTTCCCTCAGGCGCTATGAGTTTTTTCCTTATATACCCGCTATCATGCCAGTGTAAATTATTACGGTTCGATACCAACACCTGATTGTACAATCTGCAGCTTTTGCTGATTGGTAAAATCTGGGGTGGGTTCACCATCATCTGTGCACAGAAGGTCTCATCTCAACAGAATCTGTCTTATTCCCTCCCTTGGTGCGACGTGTAAAGCGGAGCGTTCATTCTTCTATTAAAGGGCACCCCATAGATTGCCAAGGCAGATGGTCTAAGGTAGATAGTCTTTCAACGTTCTTCTCTACAGCTGCTTGGGGGGGCTAGACCCCTGAAGATAGCGCTCCTTTGCTGGCGCCCCTTTTTCTTCTCCAAAACATTGACAAAACGACTAATCAAGCAAGGGCACCACCACTCATGGCCTTTTTGTTGAGCCCGTTGGTTACGGCCCACCCTCTCTTGGACCGCTTAGATGGTGTTCTGCGCGCGCGTTCACGGCGCCCGCTTCTCCGGACAGCTGAGCAAGCCTGGTCTTTCGCTGTGCACAAAGCAGTCCTTAGCTGATAGCCTTCTTCGTTGAAATCTTTAAAGCGTTGACATGCCTGCTTGCAGGCTGCCGTCTGTACAGCTGAGCTTAAAGACACGCGCCTACATCGTTAGATACACACAACTGGACATCCGGCTGTCCACTTGAATGGTATCATGGCTACTTGGTGATGCAAAATATGCACTGTTGAACCTTTTGGGCTCGCATCACCAAAGCAGTTATCGAGATGCACTTGTGTCACCCCTTGCTCGCTCTCCTCCAACAGGCTCTGGCTTCACCCTTCCTGAAAGTGCCGAATACATGACCCCCTCACTTTAATCGCCCTCTTTTGTATTGATGCTTTGTTCACTGAGGTGCTGTTTTGTTTGGTCCAGACAACAATGTTGAAGCGCCAGAGGGTTCCACACAAGCCCAAAGTGTTCCAAAGTCCTACGCCAATGGTGCGTGTTTGGTATTCGAGTCCAACGTGTCTCTCAGGGGGTCTGTTCAGTATGTGATGCTCGATCTGCGCACACAACACGGATGTACCACAAGCATCAGCATCACCAAGCACCAACGAATACATATTCCACTTGTGTCACTTGTGTCATCCTGTGCTCTGATGACCAATACTATCTGACCAATTCCAACCTCCTCTGGCTTCAAGCGTAGCAAATTGCAAAGGGCCCCAGCAGTTTTTCCACAAAGACGAAGATCCATGGGTCGAAGATGGGGCCGGAGCACCTCCACGATCTGAGGTACCAGGGGCGAGATCCTTATCCCATGAGTGGAGTGAAAATGTGCCAAACGTGCTCTCTGTTATTGTTTGTCCCTACACAGTATGCCAAGAGTGCAAAAATGATGGTCCGAACTTGGACCCCTTTTTACTCCAAGATTCTGCAATTGAAAATAGCTAAGGGTGGAGCCTGCCAAACACAGGTTTCCAAGTGTACTAATCGCAAGCTCCATGGGGCTCTCCATGGTCAATCCCTTCATGACCTCCTCCATCGCTTCGACACCAAGCTCAAGCTTGTCTGCAGCCTTCTTTGCTCTATCTTCAAAGCCTGATCAAACCAATGCACAAACTTCTCTGATGTGGCTAATGCTCTGACAATGATGTCCCCTATAAATATTCCACCCACCCACCCACACATCCAGCTCCTGGCGGCAAAAAGTCTTCTTTCTTGTTTGCCCCGACGATGTTGATCAACATGTGCACATGAGGGTCCTTGGGAACTGATGTTCATCGCGGTGCAAAACCGTTCAGATTTGAGAGAAAGCAAACCATTGCCTTCATTACATCCCTCCTGAATTCCTGAATTGGGGAACAAGCTTGCTACTGGTGCCATCCAGAATCGGGATATCTGCTTGCAAACTCAGCCATGGATTTTGCTGAGATGGACCGCTGTGACCACTCAAAAAGCAGGGAGAGGATTTGATAGCGCCATTCCTGCAGGGTTGTCTACATTTGCATTTGTAGTAGCAGTTGCAAGTGGCCAAACATTTGCTGCGCATGGTCCTCGACATTGAGCAGGGGCCACACATGCCGCAAAGCTGAAACGGTCAAGGAGCAGTGGTGATCACTGGACTTGGCAAGCACCAAGAGAAGAGAGAGAGCCCGCGGAGTCACAAGCTTGACAAATCGATCTGCATCTTGGGACTCGGGTTCCTAAGAAGTTGAGATCTGAGAGCACCTATCACTTAAAGTGTTCGTCGCACCCTTTTTGCCAAAGAAAATCCCTTTGCAGTTCATGTAGACAACATCCACTAAGCTGTATCCTTTGCAGTTGGTGCAAAAAATAAAAATGTGTTTCCGGAACAAGACTCGTCATCCTCCAAAGCTCTTCGACCATCGTCACCCGGTCTGCGTTTTTTCCAAAGCAAGCTGCAGCGCTCAATATCCCGAAGAAGTGTGTCTAGTCGAGATGGCTGAAGAACCTCCTAGACACAGTTCATCACGTGGGCCGTGGCTCTTACTCACAATGATGCATGATGGGGGGTCCCTTTTGCAACATGTTAGAAAATAGATGCTTTCACCCAGACCCTGCCTCCACCTTCAAGTCGATCTTTCGGCCAACCCACTGATCGGTTTTGAGCTTTTTGGTGTCGGACTGATCGCCTTGTCTTGTGCAAAACGCGCTTCTCTCAGTTTCGTTCAACTCCAAGTCCTTGAGAAGGTTGGCAAAATGCTGTCTACTGAGGTGCTGCAGAGAACTGGAGTCGGACTCCTGCCAACCATCGTTTGTGCATGTTTTGTATAATGCATCTTCACTCATTCATTCATCCATACATTCATTCAGACATTCATTCAGACATACATACACAATCATACATACACATATGTCCGGCGACCCTGCCCAGCACCTGCTGGGACCGCGTTGGTGTGGGGTTGCGCTTTGCCGAAGCATGACATCTCCAAGTGCGCTTCAAAACTGCTGTGTGGCACGGGTTGAATCGCTCCCTGGTTTCCTTCCTCCCTCAAAGCTTCCTCAGCGCCACGTGGCACGCCATCTTCCCCCTCCAAACGCCCCTGGCGCCTTGGACCCTGCCAACTGGCAGAACTGTGTTTTTATGAGGCCTTGAGACTCCCGCGTGGTACTTGATTTCTATGTGCAAACACAAATACTGCAACACGACACTTGTCGTCGCCTTTGCGAGGGAGACAAACCTGAGATGAATCATAATGGGTGAGGAACAGGACAACAACAGAAGCAACAGGGTGAGGAAAACCTAGCATTCTGATAAAGGCAGGACTGGGAATGTGCCCGCTTTCGGTCACGAAGCTTTGGGTGAAGAGTCGACAAGACTTTCGGTGATCAAGCATTCAGTGTCAAGGTGGTCGACACATGGTTGTGATGTTGCTGATATGAAACTGATCTACTTGACCACTTTCTCTATAAGCATCAGCATGAGTTTCGATTTGCCAGTGGGCCCTGGGTTTGCCTACTAGTCTTGCATGCTCAACTCTAGGTATGAGCGAGTTAGGAAGGAAAAGGACCTGGCGCATCGGATCTTGAGGGTCTGCTTGGATGATGTGCCTTAAGAGCTGAATCGTTCGTTTCAACCATAATCGTGAGAATTCGACAACTGAGAAGCTCTTTCGCAGCTGCGTTGGTCATTGTTCTGTCAACACTTGTGGGAGGTATATGTAGAATTCTTCTATATCCTAAGTGCTAACTGATTAAATTGGATGGTTGCCAACCCATATAAATTAAGAGCTTACTCCGAAGGATGAAGTGAAAACTCAATTTATCCCATGACATGGAGGTCCGAAACAATTTGAGTCGGTTGCAAGTGCGGACTGAATCTGCGATGCGGTTCATGACTTCTTTTTTGCTATCAACAGTATCTGTGAGGAGGGTACCAAGGTATGTGGCTGTATGTTTGCGGGGTACCAGGGATCCACCTGCGAATTTGATGGAAGATTGCTTTCGGTTCAAAGGCATTTATCCAGATTAAGTTCCATAGTATAGTAGAGGGATTCAAATTCAAAAATATATATATATATACTACTCGTGGAAAAATCGTGTTCAAATACTCGTATTATCCTCATATGGAAAATTTGTGATGGATATGCCACCAAAAAAGAGAAGGGGGGTCGGTGACATCAGTGCGGTTATGTGTATGATTATACTATATATGCCCTTTGGACAACAAGCTTGAAGGTAATGCCTCTTCAACCACTTTGGAAAAGGACAAAACTGTTCCGCCGTCATCTCCTGAGCCTCAAGGGTCGTTTCACCCTCTGAGTCGCTTTCTTCAATCTCCACGCGCACCGTCCCAGTTTCCTCGGGCCTTGGTGGCTCCGGTGACTCCTGAGATCTCTGGGCCTTCTTGGCCTAAGTCCAAAGTTCCCAAACTCTCGGGAAATTTGTCAGAATGAATCTGAACGACTATAAGAACCTGGCCTCCAAGCAGGCTTGTCTGGTCTTCTCCAAGAGATCCAAGGCTTCTTTGCTCTTGGGGTAGATGCTAAGTGCATCTTCTAAGTCGTTCACAGCATCCTCCCACCGGTGCAAGCCCCGCAAAGCTGTAGCTCTTCGAGTGAAAGCTTTGAAACATGCATCAGCACTCTTGGCAAAGCCTTCCTCGAAAATCTCGGCATATTCAATGACTTTGTTGCAAGAAGCCACCGCATCATGCCATCCTAAGCATCTTTCACTACAAATGATTGAGGCACCAGTGTGTCAGATCCGGTCCTAGCGATGAATGCCAAAACCCAACAAATGACTTTGGTAACTGTTGCTGGCGGAAAGTCTCTATGCTTGCTTGGGGCAAGCGCTTGTGGCAAGCATCTAAACACTTTGAGCTCAGCCAAAGCTTTGTTGGTCCACAGAGCTTTACAATCTCGACGGTACTCCAAACCTTCATCATAGTTTTCGATTGCACCAACATAGTCTCCCTCGCTCATGCACTGATTTCCCCTTTGACGGCATTTTTCCGCCGTGATTGCTTTTTCAGATTGCTTCCTTTTTCTCTCCTTCAAGTCAGCCTCCATCGCGAGGAATTCGGGATTGTCCCTGGGCACAATGGGATCGCCCTCTTCTTCGGAATCTGTATCAGGCTCCCAGTACTCCCAGGCCTTGCAGTGCTCTGAATGGCTTAATTACTTTTGTGTGCTTCTATCATTGTATACGGTATACATGTCCTTCCTTGACTCAGAATGGTTTCTTAGCTTGTCGGGCCATGTGCTTTCATCAAGTGACACCGGCCATGCCTTGTAGTTTATAAATCGGCTTTTCCCCAGAAGTGCTTGGGACTTCTTCCATCGGTTCCACTTGTCTTTCCGCCATTTGTGCTTTGCTTTCTCTTCTTTGAAGACCTCCAGCTTCCCCATCAGCTCCTGACGCCGTGCTTCTTGAGACATTAGCTGATCCGCCTGGCGGCACCTGGTGCATTGGCCTTAGAACTCGCTCTCCACACCAGTCATCTGGCACATGAATTCAAAATCGGGATGAAAAAAATGCATCACCAAAGTAGCTGCTCAATTCTACATTTGGTCCAGGAACCTTCCGGCAAATCAATGGTATACTCCACGAAGCATCTCTTGCACCACCACTTGTATTTGGTGCCTTCGCCCTTTCCTTCGTTGCCATATAACAGCAGCCGTTGCTTTCGTTGAAGCAACTCCTCCTGCCGTATCTGCTTGGCACGCTCCTTGAGGGCAAGCTGCTGATCAAAGGCCTCAAAGTCTGTGATCGTCCCATCGATGATGCCACGGATTTGGGAGGTAACCTGACTTGGGCATGCATTGATCAGGACACGTTGAGGCATTGCTAGCTCTACGGACGTGACAGTCTCCTACCAACATGAGTTGGTTAGCTACCAAGCAACCGGACGCGGAGACTAAATGAGCTTGGAAATAGAGTGGGCTGGCAACGAACACAACAAAGCAATGGGTTGTAACATGTTAATTTGGGTTGAGAATTATCCGAGGAAAAGAGGTTCTGAAGGTTAACTTGAATCGAAAGTTGGCAAAGTCCCACCTCTTCAACTTGGTTGGTCCACTCATCAATCTCTTTGTTGTTCTTGGACCCCAATTTCGACACAAGATCCTCTGGCACCGGTGCCATGGCCGCGGTCGTCTTGGAAAATGCTGCGGATCCAGTGATCCTCGATGAATCAGGGTTTTGCTAGCTCTTATTTTCGCACGTAACCTGCAAGCGGCTATGACACGCCCCAAATTGAAGTGGCAAATTGAATACAGTAAGTCCAAAATGCATTTTCAAATTTGCAGCATCCAACAGGTATATTGAGTGAGTGAGTAGCGGCACCATAAAAAGCGTTGGAAGCGGACATAACCTTCGGGATGAGTCAGTGTGAGTCGGCGAGATCTGAGATATCCAAACCATATGTAGATGATCACATTGTGGTTGTATTTTCGGCTGACCTTTTGGAAGACTGACGTTCCAAACTGGTGCTTAGTTTGTTAACCTGACCAGGAAGCTGTATTATTTTTTCATCTTGGGATTGGCTGGGCAGCTTGTCCAGTGATCACTCACTGTACATCTTGATCAAATCTCAGTCGTTAGTCGCGTTGGTTGCATACCTGGGTCTTGTCGTCACTTGTGTCCACAAGCAACGAAGGCATGTCAAGCTGGCGCTACAAGCTGTCTTCTGCGCATCAATCAAGTGCAACAGGACTCCTCGCTGAGGCAAGGGCCTTTTTCAGCAGCTTTGGCGTGCGAAAGAGTCGGAATCCCTTTGATGTCGGTAGAACTGGATAGATATCCTCAACAAACAGTGCAAAGAGCAGTTAAAAGGAGTCAAAAGCAAAGAGTTTGGCAGAAACCCGCTTGTGAAACTCGAAGAGTTAAGAATGCTTGGTGTCTTGTATCATACGGGATGTCACGTTGAAGTCGTTCGCTCAAACTTTAAAACTAAAAATTACACAGCTAAGTATCGACACGGTTCATAGATGTTCATAGTAGAATTGATGACACCTTCGGGGTTTGCTGGTTTGCCAACGCTCCGACGAGAGCATGTAGGAAGGCTCTAAGAAGCATTTCACCAACCCAACATAGCGACAAGGGTTGACACATCTACTGTGGTCACTCACTTCAGCACATTACTGGAAGGAGTTGGCTAGGGGTGGGGTGTGGTGGAGTGGAGTGTAGTGGAGTGGAGTGGCGTGGCGTGGGGTGAGGTGGGGTGGAGTGGGTTAACCCTCCTCACATAGTTTCATGGAGTTCATCACGCATTGGGAATGTGTTTGATGTATTATATACTTGCTAAACTGAGATCAGCTAGACACCGGTGCTGAAGTACTTGAGGATGAACTTGTGCTGGTGCTGGATGTGCTTGCGGAAGAGGTGCTGCTCGATGTAGTGGAGTGGAGTGGAGTGCAGTGGAGTGGGGTGGGGGCTTCACTTCGAATAACACGCTCATATCAAAACCCTCCACTAACAGTTCGGTGACGCACAAGCAATCCAAATCGTGCTTCACAAGTGATTCCAATCACACTTCACAACCCTCACCCCACATAAGAGTCCATGTCGGTCTCAAGTAGATTTCTTCCTGTGTCCCACCTCAAAGAAGTAGTAGACGTGCCCCACTGCAATGCCCAACAAGTGGTCCTGAACCCAAAGCAAAAAACACGCTCCCCACTGGAGAGAATCAAGTGAGAAAGTGGCCCCTAAAGCCGTCCACAAGATTGACCAAGTGACACGAAGAACGAATCGTTATTTCAGAGGGGCAAAGCCGTATCTTGCAATAGCTTTGTCAAGAGTCAACTGCATACCGCTCCAAGCTTTCACAGAAGCTCTGAAAGGAGAGGAATTATTCAAAGCTCCTGGACACCACCGCCCATGAGGGCAGAAATGCCAGCGAGCACCTCAATAAAGTGAGGAGGCCTTTATGACGTAGTCAATGTTCATTGCAATTCTCCTTTTGTAGCAACTTAAACTATATAGGGTCCTGTACTCTCATGACTCCTACTAAGACTTAAGGCGGCGACCCATGGCAAATAAGGAGCTCTGACAACGAAGAAGAATACCTGTTCAGACTTTCAGTGCAGACCAAAACAGCACAAACCAGGAGCCAAACCAAAAGCTTGCATGTTCAAACGCATGTCTTTCTTTTGCAAAATCCTTAGAATCTTAGAACTAACACTACAAGCTTTTCTTTGCTTTCAGCTCTGTGGGTGCTGAAACAAAGGGGTTTGAATGTGCATAAGAGAGCAAAGCCCTGAAGGTGCACGCGTCATGCCACCAGAGGTAGTCTGAAAGTGGCTATGCTCAGTAGCATGGGCGGGCAAAGAAACACAGGTTATGGGCCCCAACACTGAGCGTTGGTTGAGCATCCAGGGATAGATGGCAGCACAGAAGGCATGTGACAGGCAGACGGGCGGTGCATTGAGAATGCATGACAGCTGCTGCAGCATGCAGGAGTGTGATGCTCAGTGGCACGAGTGGGCAGAGAAGCACATAATGAATCACCAAACACCAAAAAAGTATGTGTATATAAAGAAAATGGTTTACAGGACCGGAGTCATGGCTTGTCGCTAAATTGAGCACTTTGTGCCATCTTGGTCAAGACTAGCGTGACCACGCTCAAATCTATAAACACGTGAACCATCTGGAACTTAATCATGGCAAAACAGTCTTGGTTGACCACAATTCTTGCCGCCTGCATTCTGGCATTGGAGTTCTTCCGTCCCCAGACGTAGGTCATGAGTTCGATCATAGAGGAACTAACAAAGTACCTGAGAAACAGCATATCATCACTTCACTCTTTGGGAAGCATCCCAAGGGGTGAAGTGTTGAACTCTTCCACAGCGCACATGTTTCCAAAGAAATAGGAAAGCGCCAGCAGCATTCCTTCAGCATAGCAGGAAGCAACCATAAGACTGTCCAAGGCCAAGGCCTTGATGATCAAGATCATGTCAATTTTTGTGATGTTGCAAATGTTTGCAAAACACAATGTAAGCGCCTGCACCACAAATGAGCATCCACAGGAAATCAGCAGTTTTCCGCTGAAAGGAGATACCTTCCAACGAGGAACAATAGTGTACCTGTCAGCGCAATTAATTGGGATCTATCAATCAGTGACTTTAGGTACCAGAAGTGCGGTGCTGTTGTCACTTTCATCTTGATGCAAACAAACCCCGCATCAGCTGCTCCCTCTCGGGTTTGTCTAGGACAAACGGCCCCGTCCACTCCAGTGTGAGAATCTCGAAAACAAAGCTGGTTTAAAGTTTTGAGTGCCTTGCGTGTTTCAATTCTAACCTTGCAGCAAGTCAGGGAGGGTCGGGGCACGCCATTAGCTACAAAACCCTGACATGCCTTTGACAGGACTACACTGTTCAACATTTGTCTTACACTTACACATTGCTAGACCCAGTTGCGCAGTGTCCAGAATTCGCAGGCAGGTGTCGAAATTCAACACACTAAATCAGTTGCACATTGGATTGCTTGACGACTCGGGAGGAAGTACTCTTCTCCAGAGTTCCTCAATGGGAAGCTTTATTGACAAATTAGTTGGAAGCTTCAACGCCATTTGGTCAAATGGGAAGCTGCACCCCAAGCCACCAGGACAGCGATGTTCCACAAGAAAGGCAAGCCGAAGGGTCCAAAGAAGAGGAAGCACGTCACCAACCTACGAGTGAAATCATGCTGATTTGGAGTATATATGCCGGTACTGGCTACACTGGCCACACTACATACAACTCCCCCACCTGAATGGATCGTGAGACTGATGCACTCGTAAAGATTCATTCTCAAATTCTATGACAACATGTTCATGCGCCAGAGGACAGGCATGTGGCACATTCTTGTGAGCCTTCCAATGGTCTGCTGAGATCTGTCTGCTCAACCTCTTTTACATGTTTACATTGTTCATAGCCTGGAGGCCTCCACAGCTGCAACTCATAGATGACCAGTTGCCAGCTTAGCAAAAGCGTGGTGGGTGACAAAAGATCCAGAGCGCACCCCTGCGGCAGAAGGATTCTGGAATTGCAACTAACTGAGTTTGCATTCACATTTTCCTGGTGTCTGTTCACTGAGTTCGGCAAAGTTGGCAAACATTGGTCTGCAAAACAGCCGAACAAACAAACTGTGTACTTATTGGCACGACACTCTGTCAAGAGAATACTACCCAAATGCCTTCATATGTTTTCTAGATCCAAATCCTCCATGTATTGGACTCCATAGCAGTGCCAAACTTCCAATGTGCAATGCACAGGAAAAAACTAGATGCATGCCGACCACTCTCCCCGCAAAAGCGCGTACCACAGTCAGAGAAACCGATGCAATGACCAAGCAGCGGGTGACCGGTGGGTGGTGCCTGGCATCCAAAACGCAGCATGGCGTTCCCTTTAGTGAATTAGTGTACACATGGCCTCTGCCTCTAACAATTCTTATGAACGTCGAGAACTAGAATTTGTAATTTGTGTTTCAAATCGTGTCTGGTGTGACCCCACCACAGCCGCCAAAGTCATGGCACGGCACTTTGGCAGTCTAAAAGACAGGCTTGTTGATTGGAAGGGTACCATTGTGGGGAGTACCATTTTCAGATGCGGTCAGTATTGGGATATTGTACCCTTGGCGTTTGATCTGAAGTTCTTAGTGTTCCAGGTCGTTAAAGAGGGCCAAGTTCATCGTCTGTGTCCTGTGCTAGATCCGATCTTACGGAGAAAGGCCATATGGTTTCATAATTGTCCAAGTCTACCAGCTGCAAGTCTTTGAAGCAGTCGGTGCCATGTTCTCTTCTGCGGTTCGTTATTCCACAAAAGACTGTGCGCTTGCGGAGAGTCAACCACATAAATAGGAGTGAGTCGAGGAATCAGGGTCCAATCATTGCATCCAAACCGACTCAAACCCACTTACCACACCTTTTGCGTCTCGCTCGACACGGTGCATCTGGTCAAACGGGGTGCTGCAAGATGCTACAAGTAGCCACGTCTGTCCTTCGACTTTGTTCCAATCAATGAATCAACTCCATGGCTATGTTGCATGGCTCTCAGAGGTCCACGTGCTGCACCTGCAGCTAAGAAAGGAATGATATATCAATATACATATATATATATACAGTATATGGTACCCCCTGGATCCACCCACCCCATTTGCTTTGATGCTCTTCCAAAGACATATACTTACACACAATCAGACTCGGGATTTTCAAGTCTGAGCAGCTGTCAGACTTGGCGTGCAAGATTGCGATCCTTGGGTTGAAGATTGATATTGAAGATGTGAGAAAACTCTTGGCCAGAGATCTTGAACCCAGATCCCTGGATTGAGATGTGAAAAAATTCTTGGCCATGGAATGTTCAATCTTCAAGCCAGGGATCTGGATTGATGATTTCTGGCCAAGAGTTATCTCTTCAGTCTTCAATCTTCAAACCATTGATCTGGATTGAAGATTTATGGCCAAGAATGTTCACACATCTTCAACTGATTTGTGAAGTCTGGAAAATTAATGTGGGATCTCAAATCTGAACACTGAATCTCAAGTCTGAGCATGGAGTTCCACAACAGTATACAGAGTCAGTGAAATTTGACGAAAGCAACTATATAAAAGTTTTCATCCCAGAAACGTCTCTCTGGATCACTGGGTGGACCAGCATTGTGTACATTCTAACTGAACTCCCAATTAAGATCGAATTGAGTTGTAAGTAAATATATATATATAATCATTGCTGTAAAATTGAACTTCTATTTGCTTCTCATTGACTTCCAACCGGGTTCTAATTGAAATCCCTATGAACTCAAATTAAGTTCTAAGTAAGTGTTGGTTGAACCTAAATGGTACTAAATACGCTCTCTAATGAGATTCTGAATGTGTTCTACTTGAGTTCTCATTGAATTCTAGTGACATTAAAACTGCCAAAAATTTAATTATAAATACCTTCTAACTGAACTGCAAGTAGAACTCTATTTGAACTCTTCTTGAATGCAACTTAAACTCTACTTGAATTCTCGGATTCTAACTCAAATCGAGTTCAATTCCACTGGAATTCACCTTGAAATCCGATTCAATTCCGAATGAATTCTACATTAGATTCTACCTGAATTTTCATTGCTTTGAAACTATCATTTACTTGAATTCTGAATGGATTCTGATTGAAAGCCAACTGAATTTGAATTAATTTTTTGCTGAATTTATTGAATTCTAACAAAATTCTGATTGCAAATATATTCCAGTTGGATTCTGATTGATTGCTGATTGACTTCTATACTTCTATTGAAACCTGAGAAAGGAGAGGACGAAAGCCAGCGAGAGACCAATATATGGTAGTGCAAGACTGGGAAGAAAAAAAGCGAGCACTTATTGTTGAATGCCTGGAGCTTGTATCAACGTGGAGTAGATCAAGATCGGAGCACAGCATGAAGTGTTGAATGTTTTAGGCTTTCTCGTTCGGGCATCGTGTTGAAGTCTTCCACACATGGCCACAGAAGAAAAAAATCACTTAGTTATTTCGAGTGATCCCCACCATGACTATCTTCTGACATTTTATCTGGCAATCGTCTGACATTCTCTCTGGCATATCTTGTGGCATGCTTTCTGGCAAATCTTCTGACATTTTATCTTCTGACATTCTACCTTGCCTTTCTGCTAATGATGGCCACAGAAAAAACCACTTAGTTATTTCGAGTGATCCCCACCATGACTATCTGCTGACATTTCCAATGATCCCCACCAATTGTCCGGGTGAAGGCGCAAGGAACTGAGAAGTAACAATACGTGAGCCAACACGACAAAAACAGCGATGCCCGAAATATGTGTTTTTCGCGCTGATCGGCGAAATTTCGGGCATCGTGTTGAAGTCTTCCACACATGGCCACAGAAGAAAAAATCATTTAGTTATTTCCAATGATCGCCATCATGGCTAACTGACTATCTTCTGACATTTCCAGTGATCCCCACCATGACTATCTTCTGACATTTTATCTGGCAAATCGTCTGACATTCTCTCTGGCATATCTTGTGGCATGCTTTCTAGCAAATCTTCTGACATTGTATCTCCTGACATTCTACCTGGCCTTTCTGCTAACGATGGCCACAGAAAAAATCACTTAGTTATTTCGAGTGCTCCCCACCATGACTATCTGCTGACATTTCCAGTGATCCCCACCATGACTATCTTCTGACAGTTTATCTGCCTAATCCTCTGACATTCTCGTTAGTCGTGCATGGGCTCCCTCCGTGGTGTCCAACCGTACAAGAAGAAAGCTCTGCAAAAAAGATCACGGACTTACTTCGAGTGATCCCCATCATGAATACAAATGATCCTGGTGGGTGTCTTCTGACATTTTATCTGGCAAAGCTTCTGACATTTTGTCTGGCAAACCTTCTGACATTCTACCTAACCTCTCTGCTAATGACACTCCAGAAAGCAAAGAAAATGGTCTCCAGACCTCTTCGTGATGCTAATGATGCACTACCCGGCGTCATTTACACCACTTGCATCACCAAACCGCTTTTTTGGTGCTTTTTGGACGCTTTCCTGACCACACTCTTTTTTGCTCTCCCCCACCAGGCTCAGGGTTCGACCTCCAAAATCTGCCCCAGTGCGACCACCACCCCCCACACCCCCAATATTCACTTCGTTCACCCTAAGGACTCAAGACTTGCCTACCGGCTGGCTTTCGCGATTATAACATGTCAAAAGTTTTTCTCTGGATCTCTGGATATCGGGGTCAAACAATTCCTATGACAGCTGGCAACTTTGCCTCTACAGCATCTACACTTGGTGGCTTCATTCCTGGCGCGTGCTTCCTAAAGCAGTCTGCTTGGTTCAAATGCCCGTGTACGCTGCCAAATTCTGCTTGTAAAAGTCGCATACTAAAACTCGCTCCAGACTTACTTGAGGTATGCAGTGAATTTGATCGTGAGTGTCTTTGGAAGAGCATCAAAAGGTGGATCTCAGGAGGGGGGCTAGCATATATGAATGTAAAAATATACTGGACGTATAAAGGAACTGAAACATGCTGGTCGCCGTCCACAAAGTCCTGCAAAGAAAAGCAAAAGCGTGCAGCGCTGCAAGCATTGCGTGTGCCTGGACTGCAGATGGTCACGGTCTTCAAGCGCTTCATCATGAGGTGGAACTGCATCTGCGCCCAGCAATAGGGCAATTGGTCAATACACTCTTGATGAATTAACCCGCCTATTACTCCCTCTTCATTCACACCAGTTTGCACTCTGCAACTAAGTGGCTTTGTCTTGAAACGCTTGGCTACTGTATATCGCCGACCCAGCGGGGGGGAGCGCTCCAGAGAAGTTGCGGACCGTGGTGGTTCTTCTGCAGTCTCAACTAGCAGGGGGCTTGCGGAAACAGTTTGCGCGCAAAACTAGATGGGTCAACTGCAGGGGGCGTTTGAACCTGCTTCGCGGCGCAGAACATGACATATGCTTTGCAGTCCACAACATCAATGACATTATAGTACAAATGCTTTTCAGCGCGCATTGTGCCTTGCAGCGCAAAAAAAAATCATATAGTGTTTTGCAACACAAAGCCAGACACCGTACTTTTCCAACCGAGGATAACCACAGAACGCAAGCAAGCACAGCACAACTAGCGCTTTAGAGATTACGACATAGCCAGTGCTTCGAAGAAGAAAACATAACACCCGCTACTTCACAAACAATTTTTGCTTTTCATACCTACATGTTGCGTAGGGCGGCTAGGGCTATGGCAGCATCTTAAACTGAAACCATCCATGAGTGGGAAGAGAACACAGTCAGGACACACCCGGACACACTGACACAAACAGCCTTTGACTTCTGCTGATGGAACCACCTCGCTGATGGTCACTCAGCTCTGGAATGGCCTGCCCTAAACCGGTGGCTTCCCGTCCTCACAATAACCCAAAAATTGCAGCAAAACATCACAGTTCTGAAAATATACAATGCAACGACTCACCATCTACATAGGACTTATACTTATACGCCCGCTCTTCTGCTACAAATAATTATCTGGCGCCCCTCCCAAAAACCAGCCCTTTCATTAAAGTTACTGGTATTTACATCGGTTTAAAAAATTTTTGTGTAAAAGGAAATCTAATGAAACACAAAGCACTTTACAATTCAAATAACCAATGAAATAAGACAAATGAACAAAAGAAATCTCCAATGACAACCAGCAACAAAATAATCAACCACAACAACCTAAAAACAAAAAAACAAACTTTGAGGAGAATTTTTGTTCAGCCTCAAAAGACTGTTTTTGAGTTTTTGGTTTTGAAACCCGAAACCCCAAAAACCTTGTGTTGTTTGAAGGTTTATGGTTGAAGTCGACTACCAAAGACACAAACACAATGTTTTTGATTCTTTTTATGATTTGCTATGAGAAAAGCAAAGCATCAAATGTTAAGAAACAAAAAATCCATTTTCGCGACAAACCTTCAAAAAGACTCCCAAAAAGAATGGATTTCAAAACAAGAAACAAAAAATGAAAACAAAAAACATCTTTTGACGCTGAACCAAACCTCAAAGTTTTGTTTTTTTCCCGAAAGCACTGCGAAGGGTTCTTCCGGAAAATCCCTTGAACACTG